GCCCTATGGTGTTAACTTTTGCCATTGACATTTCAGAAAAAGAAATATTTAAGTCTATCCTTCCCATCTGCAGGAATACCCACAGCTCACAAAACATCATCAGATCATCACACTCGGAACTGTTAGGCTCTTGACAAAGACAATATTCATAATATTTACACAACTACACTAGAGGGTAGTTCTTACAAATATCTTTGTGTTTCAGGAGTAGACACTAAGGTTCAGAAGATTAAGTGCTCGTCCAAAATGATGCAACCAGCTCAGTGGTAGAAGCAGGGTCTGAGCCATGGCCACCTGGTTCCATGCCCAATGCACTCACAGAGACTTGAATCAAGTGCTGCATCTGTAAGTGCCCAAGGGGACACACAGTGTGTGGGGCTGGTGAGCTCTCAGACTTTCAGGCAGCACCTCCTACTATTTCTTTCAACGGAAAGTAATAAAATATTTGAAGATCACCAAGTTACAAATATCGCCAGCTTTTGTGTGAGTCAACATAACACGGGAATGCTAGTCAATGCTAGTCAAGTTCTTTGGAACTTTGCACACACACAATTGCTGAATGTATAAATAAAATCAATTTTTCCTCCTTCCAACTTGTATGTTTTATACTTCTTGTACTGTTTAGGAACCCAGTATGATACTAAATAAAGTTAGTACCTGTTCCCAATCTTATAGGAAAAACATTAAGACCTTCAGTATTCAGTGTTTACTATAAGGGAACTGTCTCCTCTCTCCTCTGCTCTCTCCCACCCCTCTCTCTCACACATATCTGCCCTGTGTGATTGTGGAAGTTTTACAATCCAAAATCTGATGGGGGAGCTGGCAAGCTAGAGATCACAGTTCAAATCCAAACCTGTGTCCCGGGCCCACCTGCCAGAGTCTCCAGCAAGTCCCCGTCATCTTGTTTGTTCACTGTGCTGTCTGACTCCGTGATGAATGGACACTCCATTGTATCAAACACTTTTGCGTTTGTTCAGATGGCCATGTATGTGTTTTTCTTCTATAATATGACAATATAGCTAGCATGTTTTTTCATTTCTGGAGAGTGAATCACGTACCTGATTCTTAATGTTGACCAACCTTTCATTTCTGGGGTAAATCTCCCATAGCATGATCTAGCATCCTGTTTTTCCCTTCCTTTTTAAAATTTAAATTAGAAACAAGCTTGTTTTACATGTCAATCCCAGTTCCCTCTCCCTCCCCTCCTCCCCTGCCCCCCACCGACCCCCTATCCCATCCCCATGAGGTCTTCAATGGGATCTTCAAAGTCTGTCATATCATTTGGAGCAGGGCGTAGACCCTCCCCAGTGTGTCGAGGCTGAGAGAGTATCTCTCTATGTGGAATGGGCTCCCAAAATCCATTCTTACACTAGGGATAAATACTCATCCACTACTAGAGGCCCCATAGATTAACCAGACCTCCAAATTGACACCCATGTTCAGGGGGTCTGGAACAGTCCTATGCTAGTTTCTCAGCCATCAGTCTGGGTTCCATGCACTCTCCCTTGTTCAGGTCAGCTGTTTCTGTGGGTTTCTCCAGCCTGGTCTTGACCCCTTTGCTCATCACACCTCCCTCTCTGAAACTGGATTCCAGGAGTTCAGTCCACTGTTTAGCTGTGGCTGTCTGCTTCTGCTTTCATCAGCTACGGGATGAAGGCTCTAGGATGGCATATAAGGTAGTCATTAATCTCATTATCCGGGAAGGGCATTTAAGGTAGCCTCCCCACTATTGCTTAGATGGTTAGTTGGGGTCATCCTTGTAGATCTCTGGTCATTTCCCTAGTGCCAGATTTTTCTTTAAATCTATAAAGGCTCCCTCTATTATGATAGTTCTTTTCTTGCTCTCCTCTATTCTTCCCCTGACTCGATCTTCCTGTTCTCTCATGTCCTCCTCTCCCCTCCTCTTCTCCCCTTCTCTTTCTCCCTCTCCCCACCCCACCATGTTCCCAACGAGCTCAGGAGATCTTGTCTCTTTCCCCTTTTCCAGGGGACCATGTATGTCTCTCTTAGGGTCCTCCTTGTTTCCTAGCTTCTCTGGCGGTGTAAATTGTAGGCTGGTAATCCTTTTCTAGTATCCATTTTTACCTATCCCTGAGTCCAATGTGCTCATATATTCTTGAGAACTTTGGAATCTGTATGTTCAAGGGAACACATAGATGTAAATAAACATATAAACATATTTAGGTTTTCTTTACAATGTCTTGGTGTCCCATAAAACAAGATGGGAGGTATTGACTCTTCTGTCTTCTGGAAGAGTTTGCGTAGAATTGGTATTATTTTGTAATTAATCCTACATGTCCTTCAGGGCCTGGATGTGCAGCCATTGCATCTATGAAACCTTTCCCGGTCTCACAACACTGTCTGATGATGATGGTGAGGAGGAGGAAGAGGAGGAGGAGGAGGAGCACCTGCTGCATGCAGCGAGGGTGCAGGCCCTAAAGAGTAGACAGTTCACATTTTCGTTGAGTTTATCTTTCGAATGGCCCTGTAAGGAGATGCTATTTTTCTGTTTTATAAATGTGTAAACACAGTCTCTGAATTGTTAAATAATGCACCCAAGGTCTTATATTCTCTCATCCGATCATTACTTTTTTTTACTAAGAACCTACTCAACCTCAAAGTACCGACAGCTCCGCAGAATGAGGGTCTTGCACCACAGACACAGGTGCTCCCAGAGCTGATTAATCATGTGGATTTCCAGGATCTTCCCCACTCCTCTATGATGGGAACTTCAGGGTGCTGCAACTAAGAGCAAGTGTTTTAAATAAGCACCTAAATGACTTTAATATCCACAATGGGTCCCAGAGTAGCCATTGCACTAATTGCGTCCCACATTGCAAGAACAGCTGTTTGTAAATTTCTCATCCATCCCCACTTAGACAGTGAACTTCCTGCAGGATGCTCTGCCTTTATCTCCGCGTGGCCAAACACAGTCCCTCCCCTCCATCATGGTGTGAGATGTTTATCTAAGCAGAATGAGAAGAAATTGCAGTGGCCTATGCTCAGACAAGTCTTCAGCCTCCTCCCTGACTCCAGGGTCCCAAATGAAGGACACATAGACATGTTCCTGCCTTTATATCTTCAGTGTCTTAGAGGATCTTAGTCTGCTCCCCTAAAATCATACAGAAATGAAATTTAGGAGGAAAAACAATTCTGATGTCACACAAGCATCTCATTCCCCGTATGAGGCCTTTGCCATTTCACAACTTGTGTGTTCAATTTCAGAGGGCCTCTTGGAGAAGGCTGATGGGAAGGGGGTGTATGAGGAGGAGTGAGGGAAAACTGGGTTGGGTTTATATGAGATATTATGGACAGGGAAAGAGGGGGGACTAGCTGTCTTAAAAACCTCACATCATCGCAGTGTAACTAAATCTTTGTCCTTGTGTTCTCTGAAAATGGAATTCACACAATCCTGCCTGAATCTCTCAGCCTTTTAAAGCCAAAAACATGACAAATCAATCTTTGAACTTGGTGGAAGTAGAGCATGGATGGGGAATAGAGACTGTGATCACTCAGGAGGGAACAAAGAGTCCCTCTGCAATGTTGCCTCTTGCCCAGTGACAACCTCTGACAGCCTCAGGCTGTACCTGTCCGTTAACATTCAGGTTAACATTTTGGCTGTTGGGAGTACAGTATGGAAGCAGTCAGTGTGAGGGGGCTGTCTCCATGGGAGGACGGAGGAGCTGGGAACTCACGGACTGAGATGGGTGTCACTGAGAGTATCAGAACGCAAGTGGTGGGAATAAAGCCTGCCCCTGCCCTGCCTTGCCTCTCTACCCCTCAGAAGTTACCAGGTGGCTCTCAGCTGTTGAAGCCTAAAAACATAGCACGAAATGGAAGGTGGGGGCTGGGATTCCATGCCTCCTCCTGGGACTGGACTGTTTTCTTACCTAAAGTGGAAGTTCAAGTTCCCTGACTGTTGGAGCTCACTTCCTGCTCCATATGTCTGGGAACTAGTTCCTGCCTACTGCTGTATTCATGTTTACATCATGGGTGTACCATAAAAGCACCAACAGCCCGCAATGACTCTCCCCGGCTGGCACCCTGTCTTCCTTCCCTCTCCATCGGGCGGTTCTCAGCCTGCTCTGCTGCCACCTTGCCGCCTGCAGCCCTTGGAGCATCCCCTCCCAGCACCTTCCATTCTTCATCCTGGGTGCTCAGGGCCAGCAAAAGCATCCATCCTTTAGGAACATCTTCTGTATCCGCCAGTCTGCCCCATGTCCCCCGACAGTGGGAAGAGGGCCTCATCAGAGCTAATAGGTCTTCTGTTACCTCTGATCTTTGAATACCAACTGAAGCTGCCCAACCATTCCTCATCTCCCTGGAAGCTCCAGTCGGGCACCAGGAGTTTGTGAGGAAGGAGCTGGAATCATCTCCATACCTTCAGAAACTCATCGTGAGTGGTGCATCCCTGGGTAGAGACTGCAGGGAGTCCCTGAGTGAAAGGGAAAGAGGTGTGTTGAGACAGGGGCTGCTGTGCAAATAAGAGCAGAATTTTCTGGAGATCCCACTCAGCTGTTCTGTTTCAGGCAGGGAGGGGGACACTCATAGGGCATAAATCTGGCCTGTGTTGACCTGAGTGTGCTCTGCACCGAGAGCTCGGCTGTAACGAACTGAGTGGATGTCCAGGACTCAGCTAGTTTGCCCTGCAGATAATGACTTTAGAGCAAAGCTCTTGTCTGAAAGCCAGGAAGAGGCACTCTGTGGGAAATGCTTCTCAAAAACAGTACTTCAGCCAAGAAAGAAAATTTCTATAAATTCCCCAGCTTACCACCTGGAAAGGCCACAGTCCCCAATCTGGCAAATCTTTCCTGAGAATGCTGCACCAACCCTAACTCCAGGACCATTCCTGGTCCCTCTTACTAGAGGAAAACCTCCTGAGCTCCCCAGCCACCTTCAAAAGGTCATCCCTCTCCCAGGAGCCCAGCTTTTACCACTCCCAAATCTCCTTTCTCTGTGGACCCCACTTCTACCAGACATCCAACAGACATGACACAATATCGATTGCAAATGAAGTTTATTATGCAGACACCCAGACCACAGCACTCAGAGAGCAGAGTCCATTCAAGAGGCTATGTACACAGAAGCATAGTTCCCCAGACCACTGTTGGGGGAGGAGGGTGGGGGTACCCTGGGGTCCTCAGCAGAGCACCATCTAGGAATGACTGTCAGATGGGCACTACAAGGAGGCCAGGGGTGGGGCGTGGCTTGAAGACACACTTGGACAACACAGATTCTTCCCCAGAACACAGTGCGTGCCTCTGACTCTAATTCTTAGATCTTTCATCACCCCCTCTCAAAAAGAAATGTCATCAGAGGTGGATTACAAAAATTGGGGTTGCTCTGAATTAGTGATACAGAGATACACCTGACATTCTGGAAGCAAAGAGTAGGGCAAGGACCCATCTCTATCTAAAAGAGAAGGTCACCCCGGAGCCACAACCTTCCCCTGAGCCAGAACCTCCCCTTTCAGAGCTAGATACTGCACCCCCAGAGCTGGACCCTCCCCTAGAGCCGCCTCCCGAGCTGTATCCGCCTCCTCCGGACCCAGACCCTCCCCTGGAGCCGCCTCCAGCACCTCCTCCAGAGCCTCCCCTGGAGCCTCCTCCAGAGCTGAATCCGCCTCCTCCAGATCCTCCCCTGGAGCCTCCTCCAGAGCTGAATCCGCCTCCTCCAGAGCTGAATCCGCCTCCTCCAGAGCTGAATCCGCCTCCTCCAGATCCTCCTCTAGAACCTCCTCCAGAGCTGAATCCGCCTCCTCCAGATCCTCCTCTAGAGCCTCCTCCAGAGCTGAATCCGCCTCCTCCAGATCCTCCTCTAGAGCCTCCTCCAGAGCTGAATCCGCCTCCTCCGGATCCTCCTCTGGAGCCAGAGTTTCTGCCTCCAGAACCATAGGTGCTTCCTCTTCCTCCAGAACTTTGACCTCCAGAGCCAAAGCCAGCCTTGGATGCCACGGATGAGGAAATGGTGCTGCTTGTCACGGCTGTAGGAGAGATTATGTCAATCCAGGAGTTCTGACCACCTCTACCCTCCACTGCCCCATTATGACAGGCACATGCCCCACTACGTACACACAGACACATTGTCGCTGAATTCTCCAGTCATCCTGTCAGGAAGAGAAAGAAAGGGATTTGCGACTGAGCGTCTGGACTCTATGTGGGTGAACAGAGTTGTTTTACAGCTCCCGCCTACAAGTGTGCAGTTTAGCTGCTTCAGGCAGCCACACCTTCTGTGCTGACAGATGACACAGGATGCCAGAGGTGGTGGCAGACCCCACACTCACTACAGCCGAAATCTCCATTCATCCCGAGATCTTGCTTCAATCAAAACAAACACTTGCATTGTAGATCCAGAGTGGCTGAAAGGCCCAGTCACTTCTGACTGTACCAAAGTTGTACTTACAGCTACCTCAGGGAATCTGCTATCCAGAATCCATGCTACACCCAACATTTCAAAACGAGGCTGCACTGTGACCATTGAGCAGAAAGAGCTGCAACTCTGTGAAGCTGCCTACCCTTCCTGGGCTCCCTGCCTCCCGTTTCCTCTGAAGCTCGGCCGCTCCAGCCCAGATTCCGGGGCCTGACAGCTCCTTCATGGGAATGGGAGGCATTGCCTTTCAGACAAGTACAGAGCAGTGGCTTGGAAAGCCAGCTCCTTTGTTACACTGATGCCCAGGGCTGCTGACACCCAGGGCTTTCCCCTCCCAGCAGCTTCACCCACCTTAAGTCCCTAAGGATGCTGATGAGAGAGGAAGCAAAGTACTCCTCTTTAAAATAGTCAAATGATTCTGTTTGTCATTGTAGAGGCCTTAAAAGAACAAAGTGTGTCCCTCCGACACATTTGATGCCGTCTCCCCATTGGGAGCCAAACGTGGAAGGGAAGGAAGCTAGTCTCCCTACAGACTTAGAGACAAACCCTTCCGTTTGTCTGCCGATGTTCATGTCATTTTGTTTTCTTTTTTGTTTGTTTGTTTTTGTTTTTTGTTTTTTGAGGCAGGGTTTTTCTGTGGCTTTGGAGGCTGCCCTGGAACTAGCTCTTGTAGACCAGGCTGGTCTCAAACTCACAGAGATCCACCTGCCTCTACCTCTCAAGTGCTGGGATTAAAGGCGTGCACCACCACCTCCCAGCTTGTTTTCTCTTTTAAAGACGACCAGGATGTCTAAATTATCACCTAGCTTAATGTAACAGGTCCTATTTGCCATTCTCTACTGATAACAGAATAATGTTGTCACTCTCATCCTGAATGTTTACTTAGAGAAGCACATTGATGCCAACCTCACTAACCAAAGACCCTGCCCAGCCCTCAGCTTTCTCTCCCTTTACTCCAGTCCTGGCTCCAGGAGATAGGACAGTGTACAGCATGACACCCTCCATAGTGATGTCCCTCACCTGCACTCCTCGCCCTCCAGCAGCTTGCGGTAGGTGGCGATCTCCACGTCCAGAGCCAGCTTGGTGTTCATGAGCTCCTGGTAGTCGCGAAGCAGCCGGGTCAGGTTCTCTCGTGCCTGCTGCATGGCCTCCTCCAGGTCAGTGAGCTTGGTCCTGGCATCTTTGAGTGCATGCTCTCCGCGCTGCTCTGCGTCAGCGATGGAGTCTTGTACACCCTTACACTATGAGAAAAGAAAAGAAGGTCTCTGTTTTGCATAGGGTCAGCCTGCTGGGGGGAGGGGACGCAAAGGACAAGACACTCGGTGTGGAAGACCAGAATAGCTGTCTCTGGAAGTCTTGGGGACCCCCTTTGGTGTTAACAGACGTTGCAGACAACTGTGCTATGACTTGTAGCTGCTGTCCATGAGCTAGCCTCCTCCCACATCCCTTTGACTGGACCCTTAAGCTTTCCCAACAGTGCCCTTGACCCTCCTAACACAAGAACTCATCATCTGTTCTGTTCTATGTGCAAATGAAGAAACTCTGTTCTGAAGAACTTCTTCTGCCTATGAAGCCGACTCTGCCCCTAGCAATGAGTTCCAAAGTCAATGTCCAATGTGGACTAGCTCTCTCCCACTCACTGCCCCTCTGTGAACACAGTCATCACAGCAGCTGTCCAGGGACTGACTATGATGGAACAAGAAGCTATGTGTCCAATCAGCAAGTCAAACAAGATCTTGCTTTATTTGCTGTTATTCCCTTTAAGTCAAGCAATTCTTCCCCTTCCCTGATCTTCACTTGAGAATGTGACTTGAACTACTCTAAGGGTCTTACATCGCCTTGGTCTGGAGGAGACTGGGATTGCTGTAAACTAGAACTTCCAGTTTCTTTTCTGTCCTGTCTCTCCCCTACACTTGGAGGGATGGCAGGGGTCCCACCCTGAGCCCCAAGCCACACCTGCTTCTTCACATGCGCTATCTCCCCTTGCAGCCTTTGGATTGTGCGGTTCAGCTCGCTGATCTCCATCTTGATCTCTTTCAAGCTGTCCCCATGTTTCACAGCAGTGACCTGGAGTTCTTCATACTGATGAGGGAAAAGACAGTTCACAGAGAAGTTCTGTCTGAGGGAGGCTTAGCCTGAGCTAAAGAAGGCCAGTGACAGGCCAGGGATGGTCAACCCACCTAGGAAACCACCTCACATGCCCCTGAGGATTTAGTGCCATTCTCTGAACTGCCATGGGAATGATACTTGGTCTCCACTAGACAAACCATTCCAATGTCCTTCCTGGACATGTCACTCTCTCTGCATCCCCAGGACTTGCCTTGCTATGGTACAGCTCCTCTGACTCGGTCTTGCTCTTATGGGCGATGATCTCATATTGACTCTGAACCTCAGCAATGATGCTGTCCAGGTCAAGGCTCCGGTTGTTGTCCATGGACAAGACGACATTGGTGTCAGTGACATTCTGTTGTAGCTGAGACAGTTCCTATAATACACACACACACACACACACACACACACACACACTGATTAGCCATGGTGTTCTGTCAATGGCCACAGACATTGAAAGGCCTCCCTTCCCAGGCATTGAGGAAATATAGACTCTCAGACTAAGCATGCCTTGGGTGAGATGAAAAGTGGTATCACCACAGGGCTATCCTCATGATGAGATGATGGCAGAAAGCTGTTTACTGACATTATAATATAACGCCTTCACCATTATGCCAGTAGGCCCGAGAAAGAACCCGGTCCAAGGCGGATTCCTTTAAGTTTCTTCCTATCTCAGAAGTAGACTGGGGAGTGAGTAGGAGGCATGATGCGTTTTAACCTCTGGAGTATAGTGGGCACCTGGGCACAGGAAGGTCACTTCTGAAGGGAGCTGGACATGCAGGGGATGGAGAAAAGGGACGTTGACTTGCTGTTTCCAAACCTCACGTGACATCAGAGGAAGAAATCCCTCACCCCCAACCCTGCTCTAGGGAAACCCCTTAGAGGACTGCAATGGTCTCGCTGCATGAAGTCAGTCAGCCAACAATCCCATTCCAGCAGACTTTTCAATGATTGAAAAGGATTTTTCTTTAGTAGGAAAGGTGGGAAGTAAGGGTCTGTGGGGACAGCCTCCTTTACCGCGTCATACAGCGTTCTCAGGAAATCAGCTTCCTGCATCAGTATGTCCGTCTTGGCCTGCAGCTCTGTCTTGTCCATGTAGGAGCTGTCCACATCCTGCAGAGAAGTTAGGGGTCTCTGGAACAGCTCATATTCCCCACCTTGAATGACTCCCTGATGGGTTCCAGATTCTCTCTGCTGCCTCCAGCATCCCAGGCACTTCCAGGTGAGCTGTATCTCCACAGACCCTCATTTAGCATATACCCTACCATGAACCTCTGTGGGGAGCTCCATGCCCAGATCAACTGCTCACACATCCCAGCATGAAGAGAGCTTGCAATGGACAGGGCATTCCCAACTCGTATCCCTCTTGCTCGAGACACGGTGCATTCCCATAATAGGTGAGATGGCTTCTGTACCCTTCCACAGTCTTCATGCCTTCCATACAAACTCTCCTGAACTTACCTGAATTATTCTCCAAAACCCTTGCAGGACCTAGACTAACACTTTGTGGTTTCCTAGCTCAAATCTATATCAGCATAACTCGTCAGGAAGCAGGAGTCCTAAAAAGTCCCACTCCTCCTCTGCTTTCTAGAAGAATAAAATGCTTTTTTTCTATTGACATTTTCTCATGACACTCTTTAACTAAGTCATCAATGGAGGTGCTCTCCCAAATACAGTAGGCAAACTGAAAAAATCACCTATGGAAGTTAGTACACAGAGACCCTGTTCTTCTCAAGAAAACCAGCTCCTAGGATGCCCACCCTATTGATGGCTCTGTGTGTGTGCACTCACAGTGGTTTCCTGGCTGTCCCTCTAGACATGGAAAGGTATGAGGGGTTCTATTCCTACCCTGCCCCAGGGTAAACTCCTGCTCACCTTCTTAATTGTCACAAACTCATTCTCCGCAGATGTGCGCTTGTTGATTTCATCCTCATACCTGTTGAATCCCCAAAAGGCAACAGCAGTTAGACATGTTCTGGTTGGCCAGCTCCCCTTTCCCTTTTTTCTGCTGGAAAATTAAACTCTTTAGATATTTAGATGAAAACCATGAAAGTTCAAAAGAAGGTTGCTTTCTGTTCATTAACTCAAGCATGTATAAGTCCCCAAACCCTGCCTTCTTTGTAATTAACAAAGATGCCCTCCACACCACCCTGATGCACCAGCAGAACGGCTGCTGAGAGATCAACAAGTGGATGGCTACAGTCAGAACTCCATCTCCACTCAGGGTTTCCTTGATCACCTACTTCTTCTTAAACTCTTCCACAAGATCCTGCATGTTGCTCAGCTCTGAATCCTGCGAGGTCCTTTCTGCTATAAGCCTATCCACTTGTTTCTTGAGCATGCTAATATAGGCCTGGAAGATGGGGTCCAGGTTGGTGGTTTGGGTGCCCACATCCAGCTGCTGCAGAAGTTCCCATTTGGTATGCAACACCTGGTTCTGCTGCTCCAGGAATCGAACCTACAGTGGCCAGAGGAAGACTGTCACACCAGTGGGTCACTCTTGCCCCCCCCCAAGAACGTCTGGTGTTGCTCCAGGAGATGTAGAAGTCACAATACCTCACCCTCACCATCCAAGGGAGGCTGGAAAACACCAGGCAGGGTTTCTGAGCACCCCCCCCCCACATCACACATGGAAAGGATATATAGACCTCTGTTGCTATGTCTGTCCCACTCTGATCTTAAAACTCTCCTACTTTCATGATCACTGTTTTGTTCACAGTGACTCCCTAGACTTGAGGCATTTCCCTCCCCCTATTCCAATACTCTGCCAAGGTCTCATAAATTCTGGAGAAAACAGAAAGCAGGCATCTGCTGGCCCAGTAGCAGATGGCCCAAATAGGAGAGTCCTAGGGGGGTAGGCAGGACTCCTCTGCTTGAATTTTAAGAACCTTGTAAATTCTTGTCTAAGTCAAGGCAGAAGAACCAAGACAGTAACACCCCAAGGTAATACCAATAAAGACTTTATGGGTCACCAAAATGAGAACAGTTCTCTTGAGGGCTGGAATTCTATTCATCCCCAAACAGATATCAAGAACAGATCCTGGAACTTATCAGACTAATAACACTCAATAGATACAAAAACTACCCTTTCTGGATATCATCTTCCAATCCTGCTGTCACCTGGCGTGACCTGCTGCTCTGTTACTACTTGCCTATTTCAACTTTTCTATGATGTCAAAATTTTCTATAAATAGTATCTACTTGGACTGAAAAATATAATGTAAAGAAAATGTTGCAGAAGTGTAGTCCACAAAATCGGCATCTCTCCCATTTGAAATTTGCCAAGGCCCCTGGCTTTGGTGTCACATCCATGCCTCTGAGATAGTCCATCGTTGCCTTTTTATCCAGCACAAGCAGAACATCACATCCCAGAAGCAGCGCCTCTCTGACTCACCTTGTCAATGAAAGAGGCAAATTTGTTGTTGAGAGTTTTGATCTGTTCCCGTTCCTGAGACTTCACGTTCTGGATCTCCGGGTCTAATTTGATATCAAGAGGCTGCAGGAGGCTCTGATTGGCAGAGACTTCATGGATGCCTCCACCAGGAAATCCTCCAGGCCCCCCAAAGCCGCTACCTCCTCCAAAACGGCCTCCACCGAAGCCGCCTCCACCAAATCCACCACCTCCGAAGCCACTGCCACCTCCAAAACCACTGCCACCTCCGAAGCCACTGCCACCTCCGAAGCCACTGCCACCTCCGAAGCCAACGCTGCCTCCGAATCCTCTGCCTCCTCCAAAGCCAGAGCCACCTCCAAAGCCACCGCTGCCTCCAAAGCTGCTGCGGCCTCCGAAGCCACTGCCACCTCTGCCACCAAATCCTCCACCACAGCCAGCCACGCTAGTAGAGATGCTCTTGTACCCTCCGAGGCCGACAAGACTCTGACTGCCAAAGCCACCTCCACCGGAGCCTCCTCTGCCACCACCATGGCGGCTCAAGCAGGAGAAGCCGCTGGTCGATCTCCGGCTTCCTCCAGAGACCACAGCCGAGCCACTACTGAAGCCCCGGAATCCAGCGCCACCTCCTCCTCCTCTTCGAGACTTGCACGAGATCTGACAACTCATGATGGATTTTTTTCTTTTTCTTTTTCTTTTTTGCTCAGCAAGGAAAGTAGAAGAAGATCAGAGCAGATCCAAGGCTGGAGACTGAACTGTGCTGTTGGGAGACTCGCAGGGTCCTCTTATATACCTGCCAACGAGGTGTTGTGAGCTTGGGTGTGGGCCCACTTATGCATGGGTTTGGTCTGCCTGGAAGCTATTCTTGGTGAGTGATTATCAACCTAATGGCCATTAAAACATCTCCTACTCAGCCCCATTCCAGAACCTGCTTCGATTGCGAACTCCTGTTTATCTGCCCATCTGTCACGCAATTTGATTTTTGTAAAATCATCAGAAGAGCAGATTAGGATTTGGGTTTCTCAACTTGGAAAAAAATGTCCTGCAAAATGCTGCTCCCTGTTCTGGACCGACCCATGGGAAGCTGGCCACCACCCAGGCCTGTGTGGGCTTACCAAAGACTCAGAGCGCTCACACTCCAGCTTCCCAAGTGTCCTGCTTCTTTCTGTGTGGCTCAAGCTGGAGAGGGTGACTGTGGTGGAAATGGAGAGGGTGACTGTGGTGGAGACTCAGCCTTTGCTTCCAGAGAGAAACTGGCCTGCCATGCTGCAACAGTGTAGCCATTTATCCGAACCTCTCAGCCCACTTCTTCCCTGGCCACACAAAACATACACATAGCCAAACACTAGGGAAGGATTCCTTTTCAGCCCTGTCTACAGGAACTTTTATGGCCACCAACTCTGCTGCTTTCTGCATGAATGCACAAGGGATGAAGGGCGAAAGGACGAGCAAGTTCTGTTCTTAAGGGCGCTCATGAAAGTGTAAGTGTGGCTTTGAGATCCAAATATGGACCAACTCTGTTGCTCAGAAACCATGTACTGCCTTGTAATTCTGAAGGTAATGAGAAGACAGGCTCTTCGCTGACATTCGAAGATGGGTGAGTGTTGGGAAACCCAGCCAGTCTGTCTATCCGGAGTCACCAACTGCACAGAGCATCACACCAAATTCAGGCAGTCTTTCCTGTCCATGTGGCTACACATGCAGGACAGTCACTGCGGGAGAAACAGAATCAGCTCCAAGTCAGTTTTGCCATGTATTGGCTGTTTGGCCTTGAATTAAACTTTGAGGCTTTGTTGCCTTAGCTATGGAGTGGAAAACTAATATGCAATGCTTTGGTAACTATACTATTATTATAAATATCAAATGCCGTTATTTTGAGTGAGGCAAAGATATTGTCTTTTCCTTTCAACCTTAGTGTCCTAGTCTTTCTTCTAATGGCTTAGGTCACGCTTTCATTGTTTGAGAGAAATGGCATTGTATAAATCATGTTGTTCTGTGAGCCTGGGTTGCTCAGTTTCCTCACCTATAGTGAGAGGAAGAGGAGGAAGAAAAAGGGAGGAGGAGGGGGAGGAGGAGGAGGAGGAGAAAGAAGCAGCACACATGTGCAGGATACGGTTGCTGGTTAATAACTGAAACTCAATGAATTTTATTTACCCTCTTGCTCTGCCCCTTCTCAGCCCTGTGTGGTAACTACACAGCAGGGGTGGGAACAGAGATAAGGAACGGAGAACTTGTTGCGCTGTTAGATTTGCAGTAAAAAGAAAGCTGAACAAAGCAATCCAAGAGTCTCCTCCATTTTTTTCCAATCCAGCTTATATAATTACAATCATGCAAATAAACTATAAAGCTAAAAGCTTTAGAGTCTCAATCCAAAGCCAAATGTGTCATTATCTATGGGTATCTAAGCAACGCCCTAATTGCCCATTACTCCACTATGACTCTGCGGAGGCCACACCAGCTTCAGAGTGGTCTTAATCCCTAAGTGAAGAGAAGGAATAAACATTGAGTGGGCATCTGCCATGTCCTAGTTTTGTGCCCAGCACTTGGTCAACATAAACATCTTAATTTTGTTCTCAACAATCTCATTGAGCGCCTGCCCCTTCTAGACCCCGTCTGTGGTGTGTAAAAATCAAAGAATAAAAAAATCCTCTTCCTCTATTGAAAAGTGGGGGTTAGAAGTAGTGGAACTCAGTCATTACATAAGATTTTGTTTCTATGGGATTTTTTTAAATTTCACCTTTCTAAAAGTAATTTCAATGAACTTTAAATTTAGCATGTTTTGCATTATTAATGGGAGTGAGATGGGATTGAGACTCTTAGTCTGGCTATGGCTGATGTTCATGTCCACGGGAACCTTTATCCCAGATCCTGTCTGTGCCACGAGGACATTAGCCCCTGTGGAAGCACTGTTCTTGTCTCTCAGAACAGAGCAGGAAGCCTGTGGTCCGAACCCCTTCTTGCTCCCAGTTTCTTTTTAAATAAGTTGCCAGCAAACCCAAGGAAGGCTCTGGTGCTTTTCACAGGTTTGCAAATGCCTGTCTGCTGGCCAGTGGGGCAGAACCCGGAGCCCTTGGTGGTAAGCAGAGGGGAGTCGGCTCTCTAGCCCACAGAAATGAAGTCTAAGCAGGCGTGGGAGCTGACAGCAGGAAGAAGTCTTCCCCGCCGCACCCCCTTAGCAACATGTTCTGTAAGGTGTCCTCGGCACAATCTCCCTCATGTTGCGACGAACTTGTCCCTAGACTTATGCAGAGAAGAGCCAAGGTCACGTTCATCTTTACCAGAAACCTCCGTCTCCCAGAGCAGTCACTCTGGGAACAAGCCTGTTACCAAAAACTCACTTCTCAGGTTTGGTTTGGGACTGCAGGCTCGCCCTGGGCAGGACTTCAGTGGTGACCTTGCCTGAGTCTTTACAGCCTCCCCTGTAATTGCTGAAGATCCCACTGTGGGAGTGGCTGTAGGTCTCTGTGTCTCTCTGGCAGGGTCCCTCTTCATGATTTTGGACAAGCTTATCTCCCTTTCCCAATGTCTGGGCATTAACTGAACAGAATAAATACCCAAATGCTCTCAGGATAGAAAACAAGTGTTGGGTTTTTAAAGGAAAAAATAAAACGAACAAACCAGGGCCCTCCTCCTCCAGCCTCTGATTGCTGAAAATGGCAAAAACCCAGAGTGGAGCCGGTCATGTCCCACCGGCCAGCATGCCCACGCTGCCTGCAGACCCCTTCTGCCTCCATCTGAACTAACATGCTGCTCCAAAGAGCCCCATCACAGAGCCAGCGGCCGCAAGGAAAGGTGGGACAGAGCCTGGCAGGCTCCCAGGCGGAGCCACTTGCTCAACTTCTCCCTCCAGGGCCTTTCTTTGTAAACGATTATTCTAAACTGCTTACTCAGTCCAAGTCCCAGGCCCTGACCCAGTTCCCCATCCCAGCTCTAGCCTCCCCCTCACGTCTTACCTAACCTGTTCGTTTTTTAGTAGTTTGGGCTCTGCTTACCCCCTTTTCTGAAAGAAAAACATGTGGCGGCTGATTTTAAGGGGCCCTAGACAAACTGGCGGTCACTGGAAAGGCTACATGTCAGTTCCCATAAGCCTGGCTCTGCAGGACAGTCCCAGAGTGAAGACATTCCAGGACACATGTGCCAGGTTTCTGGAGAAAGCAGGATGTGCAAGCTTCAGAAGTAGAGGGACAATGAGGACAGGGGTAGACCTGGTGACCAGCAGGCATTTGACACACGTTTGTGGAATACAGCAATTGTTGAAAAACAAATCAATAAATCAATGAAGACACCAGCATAGAATCTAACTTACAGTTGGGTAGTAAATGAATGTCACTTCTCCCCCTTTGCTGTGGTCATATATGACATATGTAATTTAATTTTAATTTTGTGTGTGTGTGTGTGTGTGTGTGTGTGTGTGTGTGTGTGTGTGTTGAAACGGGGTCCTATAACCCAGGCTAGCACTAAGCTCACAGTCCTCCTGCTTTAGACTCTAAAGTGTGAGGATTATAGACATGCACTGCCATGCCTAGCTTTCCGGCCCAGAATACTGTATTCCGTACTGTGAATTTGTTCTCTGCGTGGTGGTTCTGCAGCCGCATCAGCTCAGTTTCTTGTGCAGGCATCCTGAGGGTTCATGGAGACCTGTCCCCTGTTGGCTAACATGCTACAACATGGTACATGTGTGGTCCCACGCCTTCGTTCATACGGAGAGAACTGCAAAGGGTTGTCCATGGACAGCACTGCTGTTCCAGCCCCAATCCTCCTTTCCAGCCCTATGGTTCCAAACTCCCCCCTGCCAGACCTGGACACTTACTTTTGTTCATTTCCTACAGAGCCACTCAAACCTGGAAGGACCAGGTTGTCAGGTGTCCTATCTCACCCTAGTCAGGATCCTAACAGGATCCTCACAACCATGTGCTCATGCTGTCTTCCTGGTTTAGAGACTCCTCGGGCTCTTCCAGGTCCAGTGTTGGCCCTTCTCACCCAGCCCCTCAAAGGTGGGGAGCCCCCTATCAATTCCACACCATACTGCCAACTCGAACAGTCATAATTCACATCTGACCTGCCCTTCCCCTCCCCAACACCAGTGGGAAGAGTTCCTTCTTCTTGTCAGAGTTCCTGTATCGCCCCAAGGGGATAATTGTAGGTGGAGGCTGGTGAGGGGATGCCCTCTCCCCCCAAAATGAATCAAAATACACATTAAAACAACTTTTATTTTAAAAGCCTAAATTCAAGCAATCCCTGCTGTTCAGTTTAGCAATAAGTTTTTATAAACCATCTAAAATAACCACAGGCTTCATCCTAGGTGAGATTTTTGCTATAGGATTTGGAGAAAGGCAATTGTTCAGAATAGCTTTTTTGTTTCTTGACATCGAAGACAACGGATCTTGAGAATTCTTCTTTAAAACCCTTTAAATAAAAAGAAACTATAAATGAAACCATTGCTAATTAAGCGATTAAAAATAGAGCTAGCACAGTCATTCACCAAGGCTGTATTAAATTTATGACCTGAATTACATTTTTTATGAGCTTTGGGCACACTTCACAGCCCATCAGGTATTCAGAGAAGCGTGTTTACCCCTGGTTAGTAGACTTCTACAAGGGAAGCTGGGTGGTAACCCAGGAAGAGTGTGTTTAGGAGCAAAGGTCAAGTCCTTGCACGAGAAAGCAGATGTGTCACCTATACATGTCACCACCTGTGGACTGAAGGGTTTAGTGACCATCGGGGAGACCCTTGGGGAGGGTGTCAGAGGACGTGGGTCTGTTGACTCGTGACCACTCTGGGCACAACCCCTAGCCATTCTGGGCCTCGGGCTTCTCCTCTCTGAAGGGTGGGTGTTGAACTACAGATCCAAAAGGTTCAGATACCAGTCATGCTCCAAGAAGTTTCAGAGATAAGCCCTTTTGAGAGCTGAGGCAGCTCTTTGGGAGCTCAGGGACCACATGTGCAGTGCCATCCCTGCTTCCAGTCATTCCTAGGCAGGTTCAAAGGAAAGGTGGACGGTGGGAGCCCAGACGAGGGGAGAGGAAGGGAAAATAGATGTCACCAGTTGCTGTGATGGGGGCTTGCCTGTGAGGTGGACACTTCGGATCTGAACAGTCAAGCTTCCTTGTCTTTGATGCCCGACTGAGCTACTGGGGGATGTTCATCCCTGATCATTCACAATGTCTAGAGCAAACCCACACGTCGATATATCTTTGAAACTCCCTTTTGCCTCCAAAATGAAGCTGAACCCCTCTAGCCCAGCTCTGCAACTCTGATGTCTCCCCCTCCCTCAGCATCCTCCTCCAAGACAACAGGACAGGTGTCCTTCACCTCCTCTCGTGGGGTGCCACGGCCATGATGCAGGAAAACTTTAAAGAAATATCCAAAAGGCTGGAGTCTCTGGCCACGTATAATCATCTCTAAACCCTCTCCTCCCTCAGACACCTAGACTGCGTCCACCGCTCACCTGGATACCTACCTTGTTTGGGTCTGCATGCATCCGTGCCATGTCTCCCACATCAAGGAAGACCCAGTTGCAGGTGTCAACAAGTATCTGAGCAGGTTTACCTCCATACCAGCCATTCACCATCAAGCAGAAATAGTGCCTCTCTGGTAAGAAAAATTATAATGTCAGAATTTTACGATGAAGATGTTTAGCAGGCTTGTCCAGGCAAATCCATGAAGCCAGATCATTGCCAACATACATTACTGTTGCCCTACTAGGTACAGATGCTGGGAAGCAGAAAGGAGGACCTGGTTTTACCAAGCAGAGCTCCCCAGACCCCGCCCACTCCACAGCAGAGCGGCATCTGGAGTTACTGTCCCCCGGGAGCAGAGCAGGAGGTAGCTGGCTGAAGAGGCTGATCCACTTCTCTTTGGCATCCTTGGTGGGACCTGCAAGTCTTCTCATTGGATTGGTACTTCCTTCTGTGTGTGTGTGTGTGTGTGTGTGTGTGTGTGTGTCTGTGTATTGTATATGTGAGTGTGTATGTGGGTGTATGTATCTGTGTGTGTGTCTATGTGTATATCTAAGTGTATATGTGTGTGAGTGTTGTGAGTGTATATGTGTTGTGAATGTGTGTATCTGTGTGTCTGTGTGTGTATGTTTCTGTGTATGTTTGTGTATATGTGAGTGTATATGTGTGTATTGTGTGTCTCATTTGTCTGTGAGTGTGTATGTGTATGAATGTGTGAGTGAGTGTGTCTGTATATGTGAGTGTGTATGTGTGTCTGTATATGTGAGTGTGTATGTGTGTATTGTGTGTCTGCATATATGAGTGTGTATGTGTGCAGTGTGTGTATGTATGTCTGTGTGTGTCTGTATATGTGAGTGTGTATGTGTGTAGTGTGTGTATGTATGTCTGTGTGTGTCTGTATATGTGAGTGTGTATGTGTGTATTGTGTGTCTGTATATGTGAGTGTATATGTGTGTATTGTGTGTCTGTATATGTGTGTATGTGTGTAGTGTGTGTATGTATGTCTGTGTGTGTCTGTATATGTGAGTGTGTATGTGTGTAGTGTGTGTCTGTGTGTCTGTGTTTGTCTGTATATGTGAGTGTGTATGTGTTCAGTGTGTGTGTGTATGTGTGCAGTGGGTGTATTATGTCTGTGTGTGTCTGTATATGTGAGTGTGTATGTGTGAGTGTGTGTGTACACTTTCCTACTCTCATTCTCAATCTGCTGACGCGAGAGGAGAATCATGACAGTGAGAAATGGGACAGGAGTATACAGAGTCGGTGTGCAGGATATCTGTTTGTGGTGTCCATCATAGATCTCCCCAAGACCATTCCACCAGCTCTCCTTTAATCCTTCAAGCCAGTGCTCCTTGTCCTGGTCCATCACAGCTTTGCCTTCATTTCCCCTTCTTCTCTTACACCAGGTCCTAAACGTCAAGTAGCAGTTGGGGTTCTCAGATCGCAAACGCCTCTGCCTGGTTCTTAAGCAGAAGTAGCCGGCTGGACTCTAGGCAATCTGTGTAAACTTGAATGCTGACCCAGGAGCCTTTTCTTCCTTGAGAAGGAGTCTCACATGCTCACAGGATTTATGACCTAAATATCTGAGCCTCTATCCTGAGATGCCCTCACCTCCCTGTGTTTCTCACTTGCTGCTCCAGGCCATGGCTGGCAGAACCAATGTTAGCACGTGACAGTGCCCAATCAGTATCCAATTGGCTGTCTTTTCCTAGGCCTCTGCTCCGCAGGCACATACCAGGACACGTGTGGAAAGAACTTTGCTGTGTCTGGATTCTCTTGGTTTCTGCTCACACCCCAGAGGGTGGAGATGGGGGGCGGACCAGCACAGAGTGGGAGGTGCTGCAGGGAGTGCTAAGGCCACAGGACTAGGAGAAAGAACTGCAAACTGTCAGGTTGAGTGTGAGGAAGGGCAGACCCTGGCGCTCTGAAGTCTCAGGACTTCATATGCCACAAACTGGAAGGGACGGGGGATCTTGTCATCCATCCTGTCTGTGAGGAGAGAGCATAGCTGACCTCCTATTGGGTGTGTGACATCAGCGAGAAACTACTATGGGATTTTTAAAGGGCGTGTTTCAATGTTTCAGAGGCTCTCATCCTGTTGACTTTGGGAACACAAAAACAGTGTTGGCCCAAGCTGGGTGACAGTATGAAGACAGTTAACAAAAGAGGTAATGACCTACCTTATCCCAAAGCCCTGCTTCGGGTCCAGTGGGAGTCCTGGCATAAAGCTGGGCTGCCACTACACCACAGGGAGCACCCAGCCTCTCTGGGAGGAGATCATGACAGCTGAGGCAAGACTGCAAGACAGAGCATGAAACCCTGAATTCTAGGGTTGTCCAAAAGAAGACCCGGAGGATGGGTCCACGAGGTGAATGACTGTACCTGGGAGGGAAGGAGGACAAGGCACTGGGAAGCAGGGAGCCAGTGCCTGCTGCCAGCTGCTAGTGCTGAAGGCTGAGCACATTTGCCCAGCTTCTCCCTCAAATATGATCTCTTACTCACTACACACCATCCTGGGCTCTCCCTTCACATCCTTCCTCCCTAGGTAAGCACTGAGACGTGGAGCCCAGCTCCTGCCTGGGAGTGTTCCACCTATAAGGGATACCTATCCCAGCCCCTGGCCTGGTCCCGCAGTACTGCTGCCTGGCACCATGGCCCTCTGAGCAGTTTGGACCCATCCTGAATCAGAGCATCACACTAGATCAGGCAGGAACTCACTAAAAGCAGATTTCACCTTTGTCCCAAATGGCACCTATCTGCCACCCAAGGGTGAGTGGCCGTGCTCCCCATTTCCCCTAAGACGTCGGGAAGGAGAGTTGCCCAGCAGTGGAAGGGGCTTCTCTCTGTCATCTAGGGCTTCTCTTTACCCTAGTCCCAGTATTCATTTTTCAATGCCTGTAGTATCCCCATGGACATGATTTTGAGGAAATTATTTAGAGGAGAAAATTATGATGGTTCTAAACCTGGCATGGGGCCTTTAATGAACATAGCAGCAGTGCTGTCCTGAGCCCAGACTGTGAAGGAGAATTAGCAGGAGGGGTGGTGGATGCTCCCACTCCAAGACCTGCTCTAGCTGTGCACCAATAAAGGACACATACCCACCCCACACAGCTGGACTGAGGCCCAGCTTCATCACTTACTATCCTCTCACAACCTACCCCAGTTAGCCTTTACCTCCTGACCTGTGAAGTAGAGATAATAGCACCAGGACTAGCTAAAAGGCCAATTGGCCTGCAACACCAAGCACAACTCCCATTGGGAAGCATTTGCTTCACCTTGCCCAAGGTTTGCACACATTGCAGGAGACACTTAGAAGTTCCAGCTCTGTGACAACACCCAAATTTCCTGGGCTTCATCTTGCTGCCTGTGGTGCACCCCTTACTCATGGTATGCAAGCCCATCTCCCGGGCCCTCCCCATTCCCTGAAGCATCTGCCCCTTCTTCCTGCCAATCCCATCTAGCTCTGGGTTCCTCCCTGGGCAGGTGCCAGGCAACCAGCCATTATATAGCAGCTTTAGTGAATGAGCTTCTTCATAATAAATGGACCTTTCTTTTGAGAGAGAGAGTACACTCTTATAGATAGAATGGTGTGTGTGTGTGTGTGTGTGTGTGTGTATACACTCTCATAGAATGGTGTGTGTGTGTGCCCACACTCTCATAGAATGTAGGGGAGGTGCCTGTGGAGGTCAGAAGAAGCCATCAGATTCCCCTGAAACTGGAGTTATAGACAGCAGTGAGCTGACCAACATGAATGTTGAGAACTGAACTCAGGTCCTTTGGAAGAGCAGCAAGTGCTCTTAACTGCCAAGCCACCTCTCCAGCCCCACTTTTGCTTTTAAAAGAACTTTTTATTCAGATTTAACTGCAAGTATCTGTGGAGTACAGTGCAACGACTCAATATGTGTGACCAGTATGTAGTGATCAAGAAGAGGCATTGACAGCTCCACTCAGAGGGAAATAGTTGGGTGCTTGAAGACAGGAGAATGAGGGGCAGGACACATCTCCTACACCTCATCCCACACTCAGCACCTGATCAAGGAGGAGCAGCAGGGTCAGGGCCCCTCTCGTGGTCACTGCAGGTCACCCTGGTACACATCATCTGCTTTGACCACCTCCTCAGGAAATGATTATGGCCAGTGCGCATTTCATACACGGTAGAGCCTCTAAAGAGCAAAGAGAATGGCTGAGGGCCACAGACCCCACATCTGTTAGGGAACCCCACTTCTGCCAGCTCCACCCTCTCTGACCCAAATGCCCCCACTGTGTGACAAAAATTGGAGCTGAAGTTTTCTGCCCCTTGACGGACTCTGCTTTCTGGTCTCTGCACAGAAACCTGGCAGAGATCCCCTTAGCTGCTGGCTATCTTCACATGTAAGAGGGAAAGGCTGAGGTGGGTTACTTGTGGAGGTTGGTGACAAAGCAGATCCTGGCCTAGCTGCTCCCTCACCAACCTGTACTAGCCCAGACAGCACTAATTTCACAGCCAGAACAAGCTCAGGAGCAAAGGCAGGGGCCTAATAAACACCGCAGTCAACGCTCAATTACCTATAATGACGGAAAGTAGGAAGCATACGGTTGTGTCCTTTACAGCTGTCTAAATCTTTCATTGCAATGCTTCCTTCCCTTGGGGCTGTCAGGGCACCAGACCAGCCGCACCTCCCTCCTGGCTTCCCTGTAGATGGACCAGGAAAGGGGCTGGTAAATTGTGTTCAGGACCAAGTTGCTCAAGCCCTGCCTCAGCAGTCACAGGTTGGTGATAGCTTTGTCATGAAATGACTGCATTTCCCCTGCTCCTGCTAAGCATGCTCCTCTCTGTAATGGCACCTGGCAAGCTCCAAGTACCAAGGAGGTGGCACAAGGCTTCTGGCACACCACCTTGCCTCCAAGCCTGATGTCTTTACCATGGAAATCCTTCTTATCCATTGTAAACCCCAGAGAGGACGGATGAGGAGATGCGGCCAAAACCAGAGTGTTCCCCCAGGAGCCCAGAAGGCTTTCTTTAATCCCAAACACACTTTAGAATTTAGCACAGTGGGAATGAAGACACCCAACTGTTTCACAGTACATGCTGATTGTGGGTGATCTCGCCTGAGAATCATTTCACTCTTTCTTCAGGAACACAGAGATAGAGATCATGTTCATCACTTGCCTGGAATGTTCTTTCAGCCTTACCAGGTACAGGACAAGAGGAAATCAACTATGCTGACATCAGGAGATACTTACACCAATGGCCATATT